CTCGAGGGGGAGGCGTTGCACGACGCCGTTCGCCACGCGTCCCGTAACGTCAGCTTGCACCATCGTCGTCATCTCTTCCTCGTCGACAATTTGCCATTGGCTTTAGCCGCTGGGAAGGGGCGGGGGCGCAAGCCTGTCCTTCGGCGACCTTTGCGGAAAGTTGCTGCCCTCGCTCTTGCAGTCAATTTCCGGTGCTATGTGCGGTGGCTGCCCTCTGAGTTGAATGTAGCGGACGGCCCGTCTCGGCATGGTTTCTTCCACGGCAAAGGCTTCGAGGAGGCGGCCGCGGCCGCGCCGGGGACAGCCAGTGGCAGTTCAGCGCTCCATCACGCTGAGGGTCGCTCGGAAGCAGCAGCATCCACGGCCGATGCAGCTGGCGGAGGGCGCCATCAGCTTCCTGGAGATGTCTGCCGTCACGGACTCGACCAGGGAGCGCTACAGGGGTCACGCCGTGAGGTTCCTCGAGTGGGTGACTTGGCACGGCCTGGACTTTCACTCGGCCCCGCAGCTGGACGCGGCGCTGGTGGCGTTCATGACCGACCCGGCATTGGGCGGGTTCGACTCCGCCACGGGGAGGATGTCAGCAGCCGCTCTGAGGCACTTCTTGCCCCAGCTGCTCGGCGGCAGGCGTCCTCTCCCTCGAGCGGCCCGAGCCCTCGACGGCTGGCGGCGGCTGGTCCCCCCGCAGATGCGGCTCCCGCTGCCGCGAGCTGCGGCCATGGCAGTTGCCGGTTGGGTGATCTCTCGCAACTTGCCCAGCGTGGCGGCGTTCGTGGCGCTGGTGTTTCATGCGTGCCTGCGGCCCTCGGAGGCTTACCGTCTGAGAGTGAGCTCGTTGGTGCCGCCAATAGCTGGGGCGGGGTTCAGCTCGCGGGGGATCATCGTCAACGACGCGAAAGCAGGCCGGCCTGGCAAGACGGGCGAGACCGACGAGTCGGCGCTGGTGGATGCGCCAGAGCTCTGGCCCGTGCTGCTCGCGCTGAAGGCCAACAGGGAGTCCAGGGCCAGCCTGTGGAACTTCCGACCCGCCGACGTCCGCCTGATGTTCGCCCAGGGCTTGAGGGAGCTCGGGCTGCAGAAGGAGTCCCCGTCCTTGTACACCCTCCGCCATGGGGGGGCCTCGCGCGACTTGCTCTCGGGGTCCCGATTGTTGGCGAAAGTGAAAGAGAGGGGCAGATGGGTGACGGACAAGAGTTTGAGATGGCACGGCAAGCGCACTCGGATGCAACAGAGAATCGGAGACCTGCCCGTCGAAGCCATTCGCTTTGGAGATCAGGTGCTCGAGAGATTGGCGGAGCTCATCGCGTGCAGTTTTGTGAAAGGCCATTTCCCGCTGGCTGTTCCTCTTCAGCCCATGCCTGCCGCCCCGCCAGTCGCAAAGCGGGCGCCAGTTCTGACCATGCGCTAGCTTCTCGTTTGAACGGGGCGTTTCGGCGTGCTCACGCGTGGGCTTCTCGCCGCCGGCGGCTCGTTTTGCCTGTGCTGGGGCCTCATGGGGCTCCCATATGCAAAGCGCTGCGCAGTCGCGGTTTGGGTTGCCCATCGTTCGGAGCAGGTCGGAACGCGAGTCTAGGTTTGACTGAGCGAGTGGTGGTCAATCGAATCCTGGGCTGGATTCGGTCGTCCGCTGTCTGCGCTTTGTGGATTTCCTTGTCTCGTAGTACCTGGATGCAGCCAGGCGCCCCGCCTCGCCGTTCTGTGGCGGACCCCTGGGGTCGCAAGTACGGCGCGTCCAATTCAGTGGAGCCCCCTGCCTTTCTGTGTGACAATGTCGAGATGCAGGCTGCCATTCAGATTTTGCGTGCTTGCGTGAAGCATCATGTGCCTGTGTGTTCCGAGCATCCTCGTAGCAGTTTGATCTGGCATGTTCCTCAGCTAGTTGAGCTAATGAACCATTCTGCGTGTCTCAACGTTCAGGTGGACATGTGTCAATTTGGTGCCGCAGCTCGCGCTCCCACACGTGTGTGTTGTTGGCACTGCCCCAGCTTGTCTCGCCTTGCTCGCGTGTGTGATCACAGTAAAGAGTGCTGCTCGTTTTCGGGGCGACCTCACATGCGTTTTGACGGCCGTACGGCCAAAGGCGTAGCGTGCAGGCACAAGGCTGCCCGCTTTCCCGCTCGAGCCGCCGAGCTTGTGGCAGATTCAATCGTTTCGTCGATCGAGGAATTGTCGCAGGCCCGATCTTATTTCTTGGGCGGCCTGCGGCCATGAGTTTTGTGTTACACAATGTACGTCTGTGCTGCCCGCGAGTGTCCTGGCCACTCTGGGAGTCGAGGCCGTCGTTTCCTGCCATCGCCGCCGTCAGCTTCTCTAAAAAGAATGTTATGGCCTCGGGGACCCGACCTGGCATTGTAACAATTTTAGTGTGGTGTGTGCTGGGGAAGGGGCTGAGGGGCCGCACGACCGCAACCGTTGTGCTCAAGCTCCCGAACCCACCCGCCCTCGCTTGAGGGTTTTCGAATCGATTTAAGTCTGCGTCTGTGCTGCCCGCGAGTGTCCTGGCCACTCTGGGAGTCGAGGCCGTCGTTTCCTGCCATCGCCGCCGTCAGCTTCTCTAAAAAGAATGTTATGGCCTCGGGGACCCGACCTGGCAAGAATGTGATCAGGAATTTGTGTGACAAAATGGAGCGCCTGTGGATCCAACAGAAAACATATATTGTATATCTGATTTGGAAAGGAATCCTTAGGTAAAAAGGAGCGCCGCTTGAATCTACGAGTCCTCCGGAGTCCGCCCGCATCACTCTTTCCTCCCATGTGCGTCCAGGGGGCTCCAGCTAAATTGGCCGTCCGAGAACCCAGTGAACTGATTCAAGCGACAATTCTGCGGTGCACGCAGAAACGCGCACGTGCGCTGTAGTGCCGACCCGCACGACAGGGGGAAGGGTGAGGCAGGAGGAGGAGGACGAGGAGGAGGAGGAGGAAAACGAGGAGGAGGAAAGGGAGGAGGAGGAGGAGGAGGAAACGGAGGTAGAGGACGGAGGAGGGAAAAACGTCGCATTCGATTATCAGCACTTCCTTGGCGTGGCGTTTAGCTGTCCGCAGCTGATCCTCACCGACATGCTCCTTTTACCTGTCCTGCGCACGCAGGCACACTGGTATACACCAGCGTTGCGTTGCACGCGGATGCGGTGGTGTAGACTGTGTAGACAGGCGCCGTGGTGTGCACAGGCGTTGCGGTGCACGTAAGCATTGTGGTGTAGACAAACGGTGTGTTGCACATGGTTGCTGCGGTGTACACATTCCCTGTGGTGGACACCGGCGCCGCGGTGCACGCAAGCACTGTGGTGTACACAGGCGGTGCGTTGCACACGGCTGTTGCGGTGTACACGCGCGTTGTGTTGTACACGTGCGCTGTAGTGCCCGCGAGCACTTTGGTGTACACGGGCGCGGTGGGGCAGATCGACACCTACATACTGCTCGCGTCGTCGTCGTCGTCGTCGTCGCTCGTCGCTCGTCGCTCGTCGCTCATCGTCGTCCTGCGCGCGGGCGCGGCTGTGGTGCCGGAGCCACACGGGGGGGGGGGGGGGCCCCCCCCCGTTAATTACGTCATGTCCCCCCCGCTTTCCCCCCCCATGACGCCCGTCATCGCCGATGATAAAGGAACGTGCTCTCATTATCTCGCTTCGTGCCACATAGTTTACGCCACATGGCTTGCACCACAAAGCTTGCAGTGCACAGCTTGCACCACATAGGTCACACCACACAAGCACACACATTCTCTTTTCAGAGGCAAAATATCTACCACCCTCCCTCCCGGGGTTTTCGGTACTCCCAGGGACAGTGCGCAGTGCGATTTCATGTGATTTTGCCGCTTCGTTCATTTTCCACATCAAATCACACCATCCCAGCCAGGCCGGCAACATTGCCGGCACCATTTCCCCCATCCTTGTGAAATCATATCATACGTGCGCAGTGATTTATATTCTCAATGGTCATGATTCAAAGAATTTGTTTCAACTAATGCGTACGTGCGCATGTTGAAAACAAATCAACCACGTTCGTTTTGCAATCGTCTCAACCTAGAAACACATCCAGCCGACACGTCGTGTTTGCAACGGGCCTCTTGCAGATGTTATGCCCGCGCGCACTTGCTGACATCATGGGACAACCATCGTATCGCAATCTCGTCCAGAATCCACAATCTGATCCCACCACGCGGTGCATCCGCGTTGAGCTAGCATGCGCCCAGTGCACGAAGCGTACAAATAATTGCACGCGGGCCAAGCGCGCATCCACGCTCGCGTGTCGAAATCATTCCCAAAACAGTGATTTTCATAGCTTGCCAAGGTAGAGCCCGTCAGACAACTATGAAACAAGGAATTTGCGCGTCGCCAACTCTGCAGGACGTTTCGAATTCCTGCGCGCGCGCACTTCTTCACCGTCACCCGCTTCAGCGCCATCGCATCACCGCCGTGATCGTCATAGGTCATAGTCATAGTCAATCGCCGCCATTGCCGCCATCATCGATCAACCAATTTCGCCACCGACAATTTAACATGAACATCGTCACCGTCGTCACCCGCATCGGCGCCGTCATTGACCTTGCCTTCGTCACCGTCACCATCGCCAGCACCGTCGCTGCTGTCATCAAAGTCGCCGCCGTTGTAGACGTCATCATGATATCGCGCCCCCAAAGGCCGCCGACCTACACTGAAGTGCCCGCGCGCCATCGTGGTCTTTGAGACGCGGTCGGAAGTTCCCATCGGTAAGTGCCACCGCGGCCGCGTCCGTTGTGACAGACTAGTTGGCCACTCTGCGCGCGAGCTTGCGCGCGCAAGCGCGGCCGTAGAGATGCGCCAACCAGAGCCAAGCAGCCACCGTCATCGCGACCCCATGGTTTTTGAAAACCGAGATGCGACAGGGGGGGATGTTTGCGCGAGCAGTGGGGTTGACACCGCATTGATGACGCTAGGTAATGGTATCACATGAATTGGATCACATAATTTACATATCATAATTCGCTTGCGCCGCATAGCTTACACAAATTTTAACCAACCGAGCTTGAAACATAGAGCTTGCATCCACATAGCGTGCGCCACGTAGGTTCCGCCACAAATCTGACACCACGGCTTACTGATCTACAGTCCACTGAGTTACTGCTTGGGGCTCACGCCGGCAATCATTGCAAAATAATGGACATTCATTCATTGCTTGCTGAGTCTCGGCAACCTGAGCTTTCCTTGTTTCGCGTGCATGCGTCCCGGCCTTTCAGCTTTCACAGTGGCCTTCCCAGCCTTTTGGATGGTCTGTCCATCCGGCCGTGGCGGATGCAACGCCTAGCGTCCAGCCTGGAGTGGAACGGATGGGCGTCGGCTGCCGTCATCTCCTCCGCCCTCTCTTTCCCTCTTCTTTGACAGCGGCAACTCAGGCACTACAAGACCTTCGCCATGTCTGCGCATCACCTCCGACTCCCGTCCTCTCAGCCTCCACTCCCCTGCGGACTCTCCTTGTGCCACCCCTCGCCTCGCCTTATCTGGCCCCCCGTCCGCTCCCATCGCCTCTGTCCCCGCCTTCCCCTCCGCACCCCCCCCTTTCCACTCCACTCCACTCCCCTCTCTCCTTCGAATTACCACCCAAGTTCGGAGCAGGGCCAGCCGAGACAACGGCGCCCCTCGCTGGCGTGTTTCTCGTCATTTTGAATATCCTGGAGGCTTGTCATCGCCACGGTTGGATCCGCCTCGAAGACCAAGTCAGAATTGATCCCAGGAGAGCTCCTTCTGCCCCTACCCCTTGAACCTTCGAACTTCCTGGAAGCGTTCGCGTCGGCGGCCGTCCTTGGTCACGCCAGTGTTGCTTCCAACAGTTTCTAGCGACCAGTTCCTGGAGGCGAGCTGTCGTGGTTGGTGCAGCATTTGTAGCGGGAAAGAAGAATCGACCCCTGGATAGCTCCGGGGATTCTGAGCGGATTCGCCAGGCGCGAGGGCCGCCGTTGTCTCAACTGGCCCTCCTCGGAGAAGAACGTTTCAGCAAGCATTCCAGAAGCCGCGGACATCCCTTGTGAACGCATTCTTCCTCTCTGCCCCTGGGGTCCGGTCTGAGGCACGCTTTGGCTGCTGCAGCATTGGCGTCGAGGGCGCCCCAGGAAGCCCAGCACACATCACAAAGCCTCGCACTTTGACCCCGCATCCCGTCTCCACTTCCTTTTCCAGGCTTCACGGGCCCATTCCGCGGCCATTCCGTCTCCCCGCTCCGCTGCGGCATGAGGTGTGCCCGTCCGAGGAGCACCCTCTCCGATCCGAGTCCGCGGCGTGCGTTCAGCTGGGGAAGGGCGGCTGGGTGCCTCGGAGGGGCTCGATGTTTATACACCACGTCGTTGGCCAGCCAAGGAGCCAAGACTTTCTACGAATGAGTTATGCGATCTTGCATCCCACAGCACCACAGCTGGGGAAAGTGGTGCGTCCGTGCACTGAGCTCCTCGGCCGACCTGGCGGTTTGCTTGATGTATACACTGAGCACCTCCCGGAGCCAGCGGCCAGGTGCAAGACGCCGTTGTCGGCACATCCTGGCCATCTGCAGGGTACCGTGGAGGCGCCGACGCCAGCGTTACAGTCTGGTCGTGTGCAGCGCAGCTCGAACCGAAGGGATGTAGGAGCGCCCCGTGCTCTTCCTCTGCTGCCAAGCTCGCTGCGCTTCTTCTGCCATCAATGCAGATAGGGGCGGGGGAAGGATAGGGGGGGATTCGGTGGGGCAGTAGGAGGAGGGAGGGCGGGAGGGAAGGATGGGAGGAGGGGAAAGAGGAAGAGGATGAGGAGGAACAGGAGGAGGAGGAGGAGGAGGAGGAGGAGAAGGATGATGATGGTGATGGAGCAGGAGGAGGAGGAGGAGGAGGACGAGGAGGAGGAGGAGGAGGAGGAGGAGGAGGAGGAGGAGGAGCAGGAGCAGGAGGAGAGGAGGAGGCAGGAGGAGGGGCAGAGGGGCAGAGGGTGAGAGGAGGGTGGAGGGCGTCTAGTGGGGCTGGAGAGGGGGTGAGGAGGAACGCGAGGAAGGGAACTGGCTCTGGAGATGTCCGGGGGGGGAAGGACAAAGAAGGGCTATAGGGGTTGGATGGGGGGCGAGGAGGAGCGCGAGGATTGGGGGCTGGAGGGCGGCGCGCGGGATCTTGCACGGTCAGCTTCTGGCGCCAGCCTCTCTGGTTGCCTCCGCCGCGGGTCTCCAGCGGGTCGTGTGCGCCCTCGCCTCGGCTCAGAGAGGGCTGGGTACGGCCTGGGTGCGAGGCCTGCGCGAGCACTGCCTTCATTTTCCTCCTCTTCCTCCTCCGCCACCCTCTTCCTCCTCTCAGCCTCCATCCCCGTAGCCATTTTGGCTCAAGATGCCGAGTTCCCCTGGGAGCGAAGTGGATACTTCTTGTCCGCGGCTTGCATCCAGAGCTTTCCGGGTCCTTTTCGGGCCTTCTCCCGTACCTGTCCGCCCAGGCGCGGGACGCGTGCTCCGGCCAGTCTGTCCTGGTCGGTTCTACCCCTCAGTTTTTGTTCGTTCTTGGAGGTGCAATCGTGCCAGGCATCTCTGTGATCGGTGGCATGGAAGTGGCAATCGCCGTTGATCGGGCTGGTGGTCAGCGTGTGGACGCTCGTGGCGGTGGCAAACCACGACGCGGAGGTGGACCTACTCGGTCTGCTCAGCATGCTGCCACTGGGAGCATGACAGTCACGGCCATGTGGTATGTTCCAGGTGTCGAGGAGCGTACACAGGAGATCGAGTTCGAGCTGCGCCCACGGTGCAAGGTGGAGGCCCCTGCTGCTCAGTGGCGGACTTGGTCCAGCAGCTCAGCATTTTCGCCGCCCTGCATCCCGCCGTGGCCGCCACCTTGCAGGCAGCTAGCCATGAGATGGCCGCAGCCGCTGCCGCTGAGGCCGTGCCGCCACCAGCACCCGCCAGCGCCAATGACCTGGACAAGCTGGTGGCGGCGCGCCAGACGGAACTGTCCAAGGAGGTGGAAAGGGCTGCGCGGGCTGAGAGGATTGTTCGGATCGTTGTTGGGGTCCGCCTGGCCTCAGTCGTTAAGAACCGTGAAGCTCTTCAGCATGCCGAGGCCGCCCATGCGTCGGTCGTGGAGAGTTTGGCCCAATGCCAGATAGAGACGCGAGCTGCGCAGGAGGCCAATCAGCTCTTCTCCCCCGACCAATACCGGGAGGAGTGTCGCCGTGAGGAGCGACGCGGCGCTGAGGAGGCTGCTGTTGCCGCCCGACGTGCAGCCGATGATCGTGTTGTTCCTGCCCTTCCTGGCGCGCCGCATATGTACATCATCCCCAGCACCCTCAACCTGTACCTGTCCCTGGTGCTGGTGGTGGTGACGGTGGAGGCACTGCGCGAGTTGCGCCGCAGCTCCCGCCAAACCTTGTCACCATGGGAGAGCCCGAGCTCCGCGCGTGGTGCCACCTCCACAAGCAGCAGTTCGAGTTCTGGAAGGCCGCCCAGCAGATGCACGCGGCCATTGAGCGTGATGCTAATGCTGAAGATCTGTCTGATGCTGCCTCTGATTTGGGAGCCGAGCGGCTCGAGGAGCTGCAGCAGCCCAAGATGCGAGCTATCGAGCTCCCATTGGAGGCAGCGCAACGTGATCGACTGGAGCAGTCACTACGCAAGCAGACCAGCGAGAAGGCCGCCAAACGTGCTCGAGCGTTGCGAGTGGAGACCACGCCGACCTTCAACCGCATGCTCCAGCGCATCCAGCCGAGTGGTCAATCTCTACCTGTACCTGCCCCTGCAGCTGGCCCACCAAGAGGAGCTGCCCCCGCCGCTGCGGGGGCGGGAGGAGGTGCGCCGCCTTCCTAGCCAGCCAGCGCGGTCGTCGAGCTGCCACGCGAGCCGGCCTGTCGATTCAGTTGAGCCGCCCCTTGCCACATAACCATTCGGAATGCGGTTTCATTATCTTTCGCCCGGGACGTGAAACCGATCTGCGTTGGTTCCTTTTGCTGTGGACGCAGGCTGTTGAAAGGGGTTCGTACGTTTACGAATCGCAGGGCCGGCAAGATGAAGTGGCGTCCCCATTCTGTTTCTGCCGCCCCGTCCCTTGGAATGGGGGCCTGCATCAAGGGGGCGCCGGGGCCGTTGTGAATGGGGGTATTGCGTTCCGACGGCTCTTGCCTTCGGATGCGACTCTTTCCTGGGCTCGGGGTCTGGAAATCATTGGTTTGTTCTTGCAGCTGGAGACGATGCAGGCTGTCCTAGCTGTGGGGGTGCGTTCCCTAGGTGACGGCCAGGGTGTAAGCGGGGTGAATATAGATGGGTTGACGGAGATCTGCGCTCGCTGGCGCCCCGGCTATTTCCTGGGTTCTGACGGGCGGCTTCAATGCCCCGATGTCCGATCTTGACACGGGCGGCCCCTTCAAGCTGACGCAGGCTCGCGCCGCGCCGCCTGGGGAAGCTGAGATTGCTTGATCCTGGGGCAAGGGGGCGCTGACTGATTATGTAGTGGCATTGCATTGCATGGCTGAATACGCGCGCGCATCTAAGCGCGCCCCCCCCCCCCCCCCCCCCCCCCCCACGCGCCCACCCACCCACGCGCGCGCAACCCCCGCGCGCGCGCACGCGCGCGCACGCGCGCACACGCACCCCCCGCCCAAGACCCGCGCCTGCCTCGCTGCTTCGCTGGCGCGCGCAGCGGCCGAGCCGAAGCTATGGCGACGCGTGCGCGCGCCACCTTTTTTCCCCGCGCTTCGGCCCTGATATTCCGTGGGCTAGGTTCCTTGCGCAGGTTGACGAGCGCGACCTCGGTCCGCCCGCGTTCCAGCCCGATGGGCCGCTGCCGCGCGTGCTCGAGCGCGCTCCCTCCTGCGTTTCGCTGCAGTGCCCGGTCTGGAGCAGGGCTTCCGAGAAGATCTCGAGGGCCTCTGCGATGGCCCATGTCCCGCCTGGAGTCTCCAGAGGCGCGTTCCCCGCGCTCAAGTTGGGCGCTGTCGTGCGTCGTGGCGCGCCTGGCGAATGTTTCCGGCGACGTCGCTGCGTGCCTGGGGCCGCGCGCCCCAGATGTTTCGGGGGCGGCATTTTCCTTCGCGCGTCACTCTTGGCCAAGGCCCCTGCCGAAGTAAGAAGCGCGGCGTTCAAGAATTTGCTTGCAGGAGATTATCTGACCGCCCCCGGCAAATTTGCCCGCGCCACGATCTTTTGCGCGCTGGGCGGGGAAAATGGCGCAGTTGCGCACCCAAAAGAACTTCGATGGTCGGTACAATGCCACGCAACTTGACGACGCTAAGGGCTTCCTTTAGTGTAGTCAAGTTCTTTGCCACCACCACCACCGCCACCGCCACCACCACTACAACTACTACTACTACTATTCTACTACTACTACTACTGCTACTACTACTACTACTACTACTACTACTACTACTACTACTACTACTACTACGACTTCTACTACGTCTACGACGACTACTGCTACTACGAGGTGGCAGCAACAGCGCAGCTCCTACCATAACGCACCAACCGGATGATAAAATTCGGCACCCGCCAAATGGCGCCAGCCGAAGAGCACCAGCCAGGGGGCCCCATGTACTCCAGCAGGTCTAAATATGAGACTGGAGAAAACCCAAATCCATTGTTTATGGCTATAGGGCCATAGGGCTATAGGGCTAAAGGCATATAGAGCTATATGGCGATAGCGCTATAGGGCGATCAGGCTATGAGACTATAGGGCTATGAGGGTTATAAGGGCTATTGGGCTATGGGGCTATTGGGCCATAGGGCTATGAGGGTACAGGACTATAGGACCATTGGGCTATAGGGCTATAAGGCTATGAGGGCAAAAGGCTGTAGGGCTATGGGCCATAGGGCCATTAGGGCAATGGGTCTATAGGGCTAGAGGGCTGTAGGCTTGAAGGTTTTTCAAGCTATGGGGCCATATGGCTATATGGCATTAGGGCTTCAGGGCTACCCGGCACCCGGCCCGGGCGCCTAGGCACCAGGGCACCTGGGCACCCGGGCGCCCGGGCCGGCCACCGAGCCGGCGGCGCACCTCACCTAACCATATGTACCCGCTAGGGCCCCCACAGAGGAAAGCTCTGATTGGGGGGCGCGCGCCCGCCCCCCCCCCCAAAAAAAAAAAAACAAACAAATAGCCCCGCGTGGCGCCCCGAACGCGAAACGAGCGCGCGCCTTGATGCGGATGCGCGGGCAACCCAAAGTGTTTGTTCTCGCTGCTTGGCGATTTCCGGCCACGCCAATGCGAGAAGCAAGAAGGCTGCTGTTCTTGCTCTCGGGAGTAAAACGCTCAGCGCCTCCGCCAAATAAGACAACTTAGAACTTTCGTTATCGGGGCATTTCGGCGCGGCGCCTTCGCCGAATATCAGTTTGCTGCAATTGCTAACTTACGAGTTGAGGCTGTCGCTGGCGGAACGACTTTGGACTTCGGCTGACACCTTGGGGGGCATCTTGGCTGGGCATGCCCCCCGAGCTGCTGTGCGCCATGTCGCGGGGGATGTCCGCGACCCAGGATGGCGGCGGGCCCATTTGACCACTTCGCCCTGGGGCCTCGCATCGCGGGGTGGCGGATCGGTCTCTGTCGACGATCTCCCCGACGCGATCAGCCCCACTGCGATCAAGGCGCGGGGCGCCGCCCGCGCCGGCCAAGGCTGGCGCGAAGCAGCGGCCCATCAAATCACTCCCGCGGGGGGCTTAGAGAGCGCACTCCTTGCTACAGTACGACCAAGGTGCCGACCTCGCGGCCCTTGCGGCGCTTGAGGATGCGCGCTAGTTCCCTGAGGATACGATGATGCATCGCGAGGAGCACCGGGGTCAGTTTTGGAATGCCACGGAGGATAAGGGGGAGCAGCTTTCTCGTGTTCCGGATCCTCTCAGACCGCTGGCTTCGCTGCCCTGGGCGATATGGGGCCCCGTCGGCCCTGGGGGTGCGCGCAGAGCCGCTCGCTTTTTTGGCGAGGTCACTGTCACTGCCGCCGGCGTTGAGCAGCGCCCTCCTCGCCTGCCCGTCTCTCTTCCGCCTGGCGCGGTGCTTGGGTCCACCCGCCTTCTCAAAGTGCGCGAGCGTCGGCTGACGCGGCCGACTCAGATTGCGCTTAGCACCATTACGATGTCGTCTAAGTCTTCTGGGAGTGAGCGCCCAGTTTGCAAGCGCCCCACGTTGCGTCGTGTTTACTGTAAGGCCAGAGCTAGCTTCATCGAAGATGGGCTCTTCGCTCAGGTGAGTCAGCGGGTCGCGGCCACACTGGCTCCTCCGCCGAGAGCTGGGCCATGAAATTGCTAGGTCGATGGGTCAGTGCTCTGTTGGCGCTTGTTGGGGTCTCAAGAAGCTTTCCAACGCGGTTGGTGCCCGTCGCCT